ATCATTTGTGTAATCATGTAAACTATAAGTATTTTTTCTTTGTTTTAACACATCTTTTTCTTTGCAGTTCTCTTTGCTTCTTTCTCAATGATCAGACTGTTGCTCTCGCTGCAGCTCTCTCGTTTGCGCTCCCTAATTTTTTGTTTTCAATTCTGACACAAACCTCCCAGGTGGGCGGGACTTTCAGGGGTGCGTCCCCATTGGCTACTCAGTTTTTGAGTTACAGCCCAGTCCTCCAGCGATTGTACAGTGCAGCTGCGGTGCGGTAGCTGAGTGTGTACAGAAGACCCCCAGAAGAACCAGCATTTCAATTATTATAATACTACAAGTGAAAATATATGTAAGTATTGATCATTTGTGTTGTTTGTGCTGTACTATACGGTCTGTTTCTTTATTGTGTTAGTTAAGTGAGAAGTAAGGAAAAGCTGTGCTATGAAAGTTAGCTTTTGCTAACTTTAGATCCATAACAATGCAAACTAGTAGTCTAATAGCAGGGACAGTTAGCTACAAAGCGAGCAGTGAGTGAGTGAGCGTTCAGACACCGGCGCACACACTCAAGCGGACTCGTGTGCCTGACTCTACCAACATGCTTTCATGATTCTGTTTAGATATGCAAGTATAAGCCATGATAGCTTATTTTAATAACACGCTAATTTGATATGAAAATCAATGGAGGCTGAGTTAACTTTGTAGGAAAACCTACCGTCCATGATGCCCCTGAGCTGTGTTTTATTTACTAAAATATAGTACTTCATATTTTTAATTTCCTAAAACATTTATTTTCCTCTCATATTAACAGTATGGATCATTGAGACAGCGTGGTGTCCAGAGGTCTTATCCCGTGTTCCCACTTCCTCTGAGGGGACAGCACGGAGGGGGGGCATGAAGAGAGACCTGCACCATCTTCATCCACGCTGGGCGTTGCTGTTATCACTGGCTCAGTGTCATTTCATTTGATCAAATGTCTTTACATATACATTTAATAGATGTTATTATTATCCACCTTTTTGTTTTATTTCCTTTTATTTAAAACATTCTTTGAGACTTAATCTTCTGGTTCAAATTCCAATAAATGTAATTTGTATAATCACTCTTTTGTCTTTATTCTACATGAAAATGTTAGAGATTCCATTCAAATCTGTTGATTATTCATATCTTCCTCAGGCTAGGAATAGTATGTCGAGTTTTTAATGCTAAATGTATATCATTTTCTCACAGGATATAGAATGAGACAACACAGTTTTTATCCATTGTGTATGAATGCTTCAGCTCTTCAGACCAACATAGTAAGATGTGAGCATGTTCCTAATTGTGTTGGTATGCAGCCTAGGTCTGGTCTGCTTAATAAAGCAAATCTGCCACTTTTATATTGTAGAATTTGTTCAATTAAAGCAGTCTTTAATTGTTTGTCCTAAACATAGCAATATATGCTTTTGAAATGTAACATGTCTTTGAAAAAATAATAGTATACAGTTTATATTGTGTATCACCTTTAGCTTGAAAATACATAGATGTGTTAATCTATAAAATAAATAGACAGACACTATCAATCCCAAATTGGGAAATTATTTAACAGCAGCAGTGTGTTCAGGTATTAAAATATTTAAAGTTGGAATAAAGTATAAACTACACAACACAAGTATAATGCACAGCAATCCATAAGATAAGTCCGATATTTTCATGAAAACTCCCCAGGAGGCACCAACACAAACGTGGCCGAGTGGACTCCGGAGTTTGCTGTATGAGTTGCACTGTATGATCTGTGGTGTAGTGGGCTGTCACTCAAAAACTGAGTAGCCAATGGGGACACACCCCTGAAAGTCCCGCCCACCTGGGATGTTTGTGTCAAAATCAAAAACAAAAAATGAGGGAGCACAAACGAGAAAGCTGCAGCGAGAGCAAAAGTCTGATCATTGAGAAAGAAGAAACAAGAACTGCAAACAAAAACCTATGTTAAAACAAAGAAAAAAGACTTATAGTTTACATGATTACACAAATGATTTGTTTGCAACTTATAGTTTTATTTTTTAATTACATTTATTTTGCTTGACTCAGTTTTTTTTCTCTTAAACTCTTAGTTTAGCTTGATTCTGAGAAAGTGTTGCTTTATCTTTATGATACAAAACTAATCCCATAGATATGGTTTATAGAGATGAGCGGTGGGTCATGATTCATCCAGAAAACATTTATAACATTGCAGTAGCGAACATGACACTATTTAAAAAGCACTGCTCTAATGGTAAGAATTTGACTTATGGCCATTTGCTTTATAAAGTTTGAGTTACATCCTTTATGTATGTCATGTATCGTTTTTGTTACAATATTTCAATAAAGTTGCATCAAGTCTCAAGGATTAGGGTTAGGGTTAGGATGCTCAAGGATGCTTCTTACTTCTTTTGCTCTAATATAAGATATCATAGGTAGTAAGCCATCTCTTCAAGATGAGAATAGTAACAATGATTAATTATGTTTGAATTCTAACTCCTCTCTTTTTGTTCAAAAGAGGACTCTTAATTATGTCTGTCCTTGCAAATTAATTTATTGGCAAAATTAGACAGTATTTTACCAAAGCGGAAAACCTGGCCTAAAACAAGATGCAAGTTGCAAAACATAATCTGGGTGTCCTTATGTTTCTTTCAAAGCATATTTGAAGTTGCAAATTAGAAATATATAAATCTAATGCATAAGAGAGAGGGTTGCAACTGTGATGGGACAGAATAATTAATTGGAACAAACAATGTGGGATCTCCATAAGGTAAACTAAACAGGCTCAATGCGAAAACACAGAGTACACTTTCCCTTGCTGCTGCACTTTCTCAATCTTTCGCTCTTTTTGCATCTGACTCATAACACAACTTTTTCTGTCAAACCGTTAATAGAGGTTTCGTTAGAACAAACTAGCTAGCAATGTTATAATTCAGCTGACATACAGGGTCGGGAGGGTTACTTTAAAAATATGTTAGGGAGGCTGTGGCTCAGTGGATAGTGTGCTGGACTTTGAATCAGGGGATAGCAAGTTCGAGTCCCACTGCAATCAGCATGTCGTTGTGTCCCTGGACAAGACACTTCGCCCCAAATTGCTCCTGTGGGGATTGTTCACAGTACTGAATGTATGTAAGTCGCTTTGGATAAAAGCGTCTAACAAATGACATGTAATATATATATATATTCCGTTACAATAATTACCTGTAAAATAAAATGTAATCAGTAACCTAATCTAAGTATCTAAATATAAAAGTAACGTAACCTGATTTCTTTTAGTTACTTATTGTTACTTCAATATCACAGAAAATGCTCTATTTAGTTTAATACATACAGTTGAACTCACACACACACTATTTTATGAACATATAGGTTTAATTACAAAAAGAACAAATGAACCAAAGAAAGACCATAAAGCAGATACAGGCAGTAGAATATATAGATTCAAACTTAAAGTATTAGCCTACAGAACAGTGTATCTTTCAGAGAAGAGATAACATCTGATCCTTTTACAACAAACAATATATGCTCCTTTTAGTTTTCTAGTTTGTAATCCTAATATAAATTCACAATTTTTAGAAATGTAACAGTAATCTGATTACTTCCTTTTTTATGTAACTGTTATGGAATACATTAAACATTTTTTGTATTTCTGATAATGTTATCCCGTTACATGTTATCCGTTACTCCCCAAGCATGCTGACACTTCTTTTGGAATACAAGCTATACAAAATGTTCATGCTTGACTTTTTATTGCCAGAACGACAATGTAGCAATTGTGCATTACAATAAAGCCTTCCAAGTATGAAGGAAAATAAATATGCACATTAATGCGCTTAATAACGCTCTCTCTGAGTCTCTACCTCTCCTCTTGCTCCTCTGGGTGTCTTTAAACCTTTCCGCCTCCGTCAGTCTGCCAGTCTGCCTCGTACCGTTATGTAACTTCAGATATTCAAGCTAGCCATGTTGGCACTGATCTGCTGTGTGTGTATGTGTATGTGTATGTGTATGTGTTTGTGTATGTGTATGTGTATGTGTGTGTGTGTGTGTGTGTGCGTGCGTGCGTGCGTGCGTGCGTGTGTGTGTGTTGTGTGTGTGTTCAGTAGTACTAGCATAGCTGATGTCATTTTCCACTGGGCTTTACAGTAGAGTTCCTGTGTGTGCCATCACCCCTGCTAATAGTTAATATTATATGTAAAGCAAAGACCTACGACCAGGAGAACTTAGGGAGAAAATACAATTACATTTCCGAGTGTGGAACATCTAAACATTCCTAAAGAATCCTGCAAAATTAATGGGAATTTGTTTTATATGGTTCAGCTAGCAAAACCTTTAAATAAAATTGTATCTATGAATGTAATACCTTTTCCCCAAGATTAAACCTAGAGACTTCAAGACAAATTGTAACCTAAATCAGAATTCAAATGTAATTCATTACATAATTGATTTTCCTGCTGGCATGACTGCAACAACGACTAGACTTACTAGACTGCTTAAATATAAATGTATATTGACATGTATATTGACTTAGTTATGTCCAACAGAAAACATTCAAAGGGGAAATATATTCAGAAAATATCTTCCAGCCTTAAACGTAGTAGTGAGACCAACTATACAAATTGTAGATAAACAATAGTTAATTCTGATTGCATGCCTCAAATAAACTGATCTTATAATGTAAGCATGTTTATTTTATATGTAGGTAGTTTGTGAATGTTGAGCTTGCTGAAGTGTGTGCTGGTACGGATTGTGATTGATTCTGTGTCTTATTTCGGATACTTTCTGTTAGTTCACTGCCATGTCGTACATATTGAACTCTTGTGTGTGTGATTTCCCACCGTGTACCGTTGTGTCAAAGTGCACACGGCTGCTTTGCCCACATTGGAAGTGAAGTTGGCCACTGTTAGTTAGCTAGCTAGTTAGCTAAAAACAGCAAATGTAAGTATACAAATGTAGGCAAATTGAGACACAGCATGTATTGTGTATATGAACCAGTCCGGATGAGTTACTGTACTTACTTTCCCTCAGAGCCGTAGCTGTTCATGCTGTCCTCTATGGACTCGTGGCTGGCCTGTCGGACGGTCCGGCTTGGCATCTCCACAGCCAGACCCGTCTCCGTGCTCCTCTGGATGCCTCCCTTCAACTTCCTTCCCTCTGTATCCACTGCAGGGGAACACACAGACACACACATTAATTCAGCTGCTTTACACAAGTATGTAGTACTGGGTTTTTTCCACTCAAGTATCTGCAATGGCAAATCAGTTCGCTGCTCCTTCACTGCAAGTGAGACCTTTCGACCCACCAGCAAAAAAAAAAACGGTATGATATCCTAGCTAGAAAATGGTGGCACAAGCTCCCCATTGATATCAGGACTGCAGAACATTTAAAAATCTTCTGTTAAAGACTGCAAACCCGTCGATTTCTACTGCACCTTGGCCAATAAAATATGGAAAAAAACGTATTTTCTGTATGTAGCATTAGCAAAGCTAATGCAAACCTAATGTAAGTCGCTTTGAATAAAAGCGGCAGCTAAATGTAATGTTATGTAGAAAGTAAATCAAATATATAAGAGAAAACTGTTCTGGTAATGCAAGTGTAGAGCCAGCTGAGGATGGTAGCCAATTAAAAAAAATTAAAGAAAGTTTTGATGCTCTGAATTATTGAAAATAATCCCCAGGTTTCTTTCAGTTGAAGCTGTTTTCGTGTTTGTCCTGCTTTGACTTCATTAGCGTCAGAGGAAGGACGACCGCATTGATGGGGAAGCTCTTTAACGAGGCCAAGGACAAAAGCACTATTTCACCTCAGAGCACAGACATACATCTTGTTGCAAAATAGACCACAAAATCACACTTTATGGGACCTGTCTATGGCAGCAAGGTGTCCTGTGTGTGTGTGTGTGTGTGTGTGTGTGTGTGTGTGTGTGTGTGTGTGTGTGTGTGTGTGTGTGTGTGTGTGTGATGGAGGTTGAGTTTATAATGAAGCTCTCTGGTACGAGGTCTTTAACCTTGTTTTCAGGACAGGACGGGAAAGTAGTTTTCTTTTAATAGTGAGGACACACACAGGGACAAACATTACTTTTGTAAAATGGTAATGGCATAATTGTTATAATGGAGCTTTGTTGTCCGTCTTACTGCAAGTCTTTTGCCTGAAATAAATGCTAAAACCCACCAAATGAATGTATTAAAAGTAAATTCAATCAAATGGAATACATGTATTTCTGCCCCTCCCCCGCAACAGCTTCCGATCAAATCCTGACGAAGTTGTTCTCTCTCTTTCTCCACAGACAGTTTCAATTACCTCAATGGAAATAAAAATGATTTAGGAAGCCTTGCACACACATACAAACACACACCATGAAGTTAGTGCTGCAGTTATTAAACAGTGACCTAGAACGATGCTATTTATATCGTTCACATGGGACGCTGTCAGATTTGGGTTACTGCTTCTGTTTCTGACTGATCCATATGATCAGTTTTCTCTGCCGTCAGTCTGTGAGCAGACACAGCAGCACTGTTACATATACAGAAGTGGGGGAAGATCATTAACTTAAGTCCTGATAGAATTGCTATGGTCCTAAAATTCCATATTACACATAAAAGACCCAAATTCAAAAATGTTTTTAAGTAATAGTGCAGAAATATTATCAACTAAATGCAGTTAAAGAATCAAAAGTAAAAGGGTTAAAAATGCAGATTTGCTGTATTCAAAGTATTATAATATCATATAATATTATTTTATCCTGTTTTTAAGTGTAATGCAGTGCTGCCTTATTTCATATAAACATATCATGTTTTTATATATAAAGCGTAATCAATAACTGTGTTAAATAAAGTAAAAGTATGGTATTTGCCTCTTAAATGTAGTAGAAATTGTATGTACTTGAGTAAATATAATTTCCACCATTGCACACATCAACACTAATGTCAGAGCAGACCAGTACAAATGTCAGGCTTATATTACCTGGGATATTCAAAATAGCACACCTGAATTTTTCATTTCAGCCTTCGAGTCACAAGCAGAAAACTCCTCGGATTACAAGCAATACAGATTAGGTCAGGAGGCACTTTTAATACTATGAGATCCGGTTAGGAGCCGGAACAGCCATGAAAAAAGGTTTGTAGTTGTATAACACATTTCATAAACCCTAATCTTGCCCTGTGTCTGGATTTACAAGCAACCAAATCTGCTTTATTTTATTCCAGCAGTCCAATGGGCACTATGGAGGTAAAATCAGTCAAGAGTCACTCTATTCCAGATTCACACAAAGACACAGACATGACAATGTTCTGCAAACTCTGTCAAGCCACAAAAACCCCAAGATAGTAATTGTTTTGATACAGGGATTCAAATAAAACTTGTTGTGTTTCGCACAGATTGCGTTCCGAGTTTCAAAAGCTCACTATGCGCCTCCTCATACTGGTAGAAGAGGGATCTCAAGGTACAATACATTTAGAAGTCAATATCAATACTAATGCAATTCCTGGATTTGATATACCCAGTTGATACCAAGGTAAAGAAAATGCACATGATGTAGTATTCACAGAAATTCCAACACGAAAATGGAACAAAGACACAGATACATGTTATTTTCTTAATTAGAATGTAAGTGTGAGAGAGTTGGTATTTATCACTTTTTGGGGACATTATTCTGTTTACACAGTCACGTCATTGGGACCTCGGCAGTTTTAGGGACATATAGGCCCCGTTCAGACGATTTCAGTTGTATCTGCTAAAGTTCTTTATCGTATAGACCAGCGGTTTTCAAAGTGTGAGGCGCGCCTCCCCTGGGGGGCGCCAGAGAGCTTCAGGGGAGGCGCAGCGTGAGAAAAAAATAAAGAGAAACAATGAAATCTAGCTCGTTAACTTCAGCTAACTTTATGCGAGCGGCAACATGGATCGATTTTTAGTGAAGTTACCTAAAGTGAGAGAGGAGACAGCGTCTGGCCACCCCAGTTGGCAGCTTTGTTTTGAAATAAAAGTTGTGGCTCATCGGACATTTATCAGAGAAAATCCCTGATGTCCGAGTGCAAGTGAATGCAGCACAAGACGCGAGCCTTGTAACCCTGGCGCGAGCGAGGAAATGTGATTGGCGGCGATTTCATTTGAACGGGCGGCAGAAAACGAGAAGCATTCGGACCCAAGTACACGGAAGGAATAAGGTATTTGCGGTCTACAATGACAGAGAAGAGACTGTCAAGTTTGGCTGTGCTCAGCATTGAATCAAAACGCACTAAAGCTTTGGATGTTAATACGTTTGTGAGGCGTTTTGCTGAACAAGATGGTAATCGCCGCATTCAGCTGTAATAGGCATGCCAACTTGATGCTCTGCTCACGGATGACTCGAGCATTAAAAACTGTTAAGATGATGACCTTACGTGTGTACATATATTTTTTTCTTTGTGGGGGTCTGCCCTGAGAAAGTCAAATAAGATGGTGTGTAAAACTACACTGCACAGACAAAAATAAGTAACCACTTTGATTTAACTAGGCCAGTAGGTAAGGGCATTCCACTGGATAATAATACCCCTGCATTATAGCAACAACAATAATAATAATAATAATAGCAATAATAATTGGGAGGGGGGGCGCGGCTGTTCTTATATTCTCTGAGGGGAGGCTCACCTTCCCACACTTTGAAAACCCCTGGTATAGACGGTTCGTCCACACGAAGCCGAAACGGAGCCGCGGCTTCGGAGCCCGAAACCGATAAACTTTGAAACCGGCTCCCAAAGTGGGTAAGTCTGGAGATGACACGCTTGTGGCTCCGTGTGTATGCCCTATACCAGGGGTGGGGAACCTCTGGCCCCCGGGTCGTATACGGCCCGCGAGACCATTTGGTACGGCCCTCGAGGTAAAACGCAAAAAAATTAAGAAATCTTGACCGCAAAAAAATTAAACAAGCGAGTGCCTGTTTTTCCTGGGTTAGGTCAGGGTCCTTAAACACAACACGAGCCTACGTGTCCTCACGTGGTATGTGGCTGCGTTTCACTTCTCTTATTTTTCATTTCCTCGCTCCTCGGTCTCGGTCTCACCGGAAGTTGATTTGTCTGCGCCATCTTGAGTAGCGTCCCAATGGCCTTATTTTTGCCGGAGGACCGAGGACTGAGGAGCGAGGAGCGATAATGGAGGAGCTATAATCGAGGAACCACCAGACCATCCTTCGATGAAATCCTCAGAGACTCGCCCCGCCCCCTTACTGTGTATCGCTCACTGATTGGACGATGCAGCGCATGCACTGATCTGTTGCTTCTTGACATGAGAGCAGTTTCCCAGCGGAGTGAAGAAAACACATGAAACTCACGGGACTCACTCCTCAGTTCATACCGTGTTCTGTTTCAATGAATGCATCATTCAGTTACAAATATGTGATATATCTGAACAACAAAGTGGTCAAAAATCATTTTATTCATTTATTGGAAACATTTTCATGATCGCTTTTTTCGTTTTACATTTTCATTTATTGTCATTTCCATTCAGTCAGTCATTAAGTGCTATTTAACATGTTAATGTGCTACATATCCACACAAACAGACAAAGTGTGCAATCCAATGAATGTTAATCTAACTGGGTTTTGATAGATAAGATATCTCTCTTTCTTCTCTCAATTATTTTATTTCTATTGTGCACTCTAATCAATATTAATCTAACTATTGTTCGTTTATACATTTTAAGAATGGCGTTTATCTTTTTTGAGAATGAGTTCTTATTTAATGTATTTAGGTCTACAACAGATGATACAAATGTTTGTGTCAGTAAATGTGTACTAACAGAGGCGGGGGTGTTTGTGAAAACAACGGGGACAGAGCTGGCTGCTGTCAGACGATCAGCTGTGCAGCGTCATCACAAACGGACGTCGCTTCACGTGACCCTCCGGAGGAAAGGACGTCCCATTGCTCTTAAAACTCATTTCCCTGCTTCTCGTGGTTTCCTTGCGTCTCTCCATGCTTCCCTGGTGGGAAGGACTAGTCGCAGGGAAACGACGCAAGTGAGGGACGCAAGGAATCCATTTAACCGAAGTGAAACGCAGCCTGTGTCTCGTCTGACAGGGGTGCAGTTCTGCAGGAGAGCACCAGAACGCCGCTCCGGGCCGGGACTTCACAAATTGCAGTAGCCATAAGGAGCCGTACACATGCCGCAGTTTTTGCGTGGCTGTGTCTTTAGTT